TGTGTGTGTGTGTGTGTGTGTGTGTGTGTGTGTGTGTGTGTGTGTGTGTGTGTGTGTGTACAGGGTGTCCATAAAGTCTCTTTACCATTTCAAAAATTTATGAAAAATGCAATTGATTAGATATTTTATTCAGATTTGTTCTATTGTATTCAGTGTTTATTAAAGGTTTTTTTTTACCTCTTTTAATACATTTCTACATGGGCACCATTAGTTGCACGAAGCACATCAAGATGGTACTCAATTTCTTGCCATGTTCGCTGTAGCACAGCCTCATCAATTGTGGCAATGGCATCAGTAATCCTTTGCTTTAGGTCAGTAATGTGCCTTATCTTTGTTTGACACACGATATCTTTAACATAGCCCCATAGAAAGAAGTCCAGGGGAGTGATATCTGGTGAACGTCACGGCCAAGGAATTGGCCCATCAACTTCCAATCCACCGGTCTGGAAATGTTTGATTGAGGAACCCACGAACATGCAGCCCCCAATGTGGTGGTGCACCATCTTGCTGAAAAATTATGGTTGGTTGAAGGTCATTCAGTTGTGGTGCCACATATTCAGGAAAAAGGTCAAGGTAAACATTTGCAGAAATTTTGTAGGGGTTCATTCAAAATCACCTCTTTCACAAACAGGATCCCTGAAACACACAAATGCAGTGTGATAAAAAACTTTAATAAACACTGAATACAATAGAACAAATCTGAATAAAATATCAAATCAATTGCATTTTTAATACATTTTTGAAATGGTAAAGAGACTTTATGGACACCTTGTCTATTTTTTTAAGTAAATTCAACAAAATGTCAGTATAATAAGCCTCTGAATGTATTCTTTTAAATAATTTTGCGATAATACTCACAATTAATGTGAATGGTTTTCCGTTCCTCACGATTGCTAAAAATCCAGCAAAACTAGCGGAGTTATAGTCAGCTTGCCGGGTCCATACGCAGAGTTGCTGCTGGCTAGCTTGCACCCTGCTCAGTAGCTTGAGCGCTTCCTTTCCGCTGTCTCTCGTAGGGTATTTTGATGTGAACATGGCATGGCGCGTGTCAAAGTGCCATTTTACATTCGACCGTTTCATCGATGGTATTTTGTCATTGCAAATCAGACACACCGCAGAACCTGTTCTCTCCACAAAGGCGAATCCTTCGGTCCATTCGTCCTGAAGTCTACCATACTCGTCATCTTTTTTTTATTTTTGCCATTTTATTCGTTTAGGATTAGCTTTGAGCTAATGACCGAGCGGGTTGATTCAAAAGGGGACGTTTACCTGTTTCCGCAGCAACGGCCAACGTAGGCCAGTATTATACAATCAAATTTGCTCCTGGAGCCAACTGCAGCCCTGAACAGGAAATGAGCAGTAAAATAAAAAATAAAATAGAATCGATGGATGGATTAAACAAGCATGAATATATTGTTTTATCTGCGAGCCAGATACAATCATCAAAAGAGCCACATATGGCCCGCGAGCCATAGGTTTTTAGACCTCTGGCCTAAAATAATGTACAGTTTAGTATCACTTCTACCTTCAGTGCCAGCATCAGTAATCAGCAGTGTAACAGCCATGACCCCACCTCCAACATGTTTTCCCTGCAATGTGAAGCTTTGCTTTTGTTCATGGGTCCCCTCCCCTACATGAACATTCTTTTCTATTATGCTTCATCTTCATGTTCTGATTTGCACACACGAACGTTACTGGGAACACAGTCGAGAAAACATCTAATCTGGATTCCTGCTTGTACAAAACACTGACAAAATAGAGGATGAGTCCTCCTCATTCTATGCGAGTGGCTTTGATTTGGCTCACCACTATGAAGAGGAATAACTGTCATTTTTTCATTCTGTGATGTGACGCTGTACAAATCCAACATTTTGTTTTCTTAAGGAAAGAACCAGTTGTTCCCTTTATGAATAAAATCACAACTCATTGAAATGCATTCTGCAAATTAAATGGAAGCCATTTGCCAATTATACATGATTAAATTGTGCTAAGAATGAACAGAATTTAATTAAATGCTCTAAAAGGCCAGAAAATGACTTGTTATATAAAGTGAATAAATTACCATGGGGTCTTCGGCAGGACATTGCCTACAGTACAACCACAAGACCATCACCATGGAAACTTGAAGGATAAATCCACAAGTATCCAATCAGAGAACACAAATGTGTATATTTGAGTTTCTGGGAACATGAAGAAAGGGATCTATATATATATATGTATATATATATATATATATATATATATAAAAGCCTTTTTAATATTAAGATGGAGTGAGCTTCTATCGAGAGGAATAGTTAGCGGCAAATGCCCATAAAATTAAATCCATGGTGGCGAGTGTTTTGATATTTTGTGATATTCACCGAGGAGCGCAAAGTTTCCACCAGCATTCTAAAGATGTTTTTTGTGCTGGTCTTGGTGAATGAGAAGTTTATCAATGAGGCTCATTGACATCGAGCTGTGCAATTTTTCAGCCAAATATGTGCATATTACCTCATTTAAATATGCGCAAATACCACTGGCACAACTGGTATCTCAGTTTGTGACGCATCTGTACATGCTTTGTGAATAGATGCACTCTGTACGCTCTGTTTTTATCGCTTAGTGCCACACAATCCTTTAGTGAATTCGATCTTCCGTGTTGTCTAATATAGTATGTAGCATATAACTTGGCTCAGACAAAGAAATGCATCACGATTTTCTTGTCAGTCCATCACAGCAAGCAACATTCATTTTCCCTCCAAAAGACGCACCTGTGGAATGTGTCCAGTTAAAGTGGGAGCCCTCGGTGGACTCTAGAGCCAGACTCCAGTGCAGGCCGGGCCCCTTATGCCTGCCATCTGGACCCCCCTGAACCACAGCTCGGCAACACGCACGCACTGTATAGAAGAAATGCAGGACACACATTTAGGATTCATTCTTGAAATCTATACATTAAAACATTTGAAATTGAACAAAATGTCTGGACACAATGATGTGTCTGAAATCACCCAGCAAACAGAACATGGCAGATGAGTGAAAATTAGACATTTTTTCTACTCAAGAAAATACATTTATAAAGAAATGCACAGACTTGCAACATATGTGTGGACAAAAAAAAAAATTGCAGGCGAAGTACAGTACTGACTTGTAATAGCTGGGTATGCCATCGGCATAAAAAAATGTTTTTATAGTTGGACAGTGACATCAATGCGTAAATAAGGTTGAACTCTTTTCTCAGTATTAGAACATGACTTTTCATTCCCCTTGCCCCACAGAGCCTGATCTTACAATGTCCCTTTCTGCATCCATACACTCACAATGTTTACCTCTCATGGTTTAGATTCGCCACAGATTAGAATCCTTAATATCTCTCCGCTGTCGCCTCAGTAAAAGTCACAAATACACTCGCATTCATCACATTACATCACTCAAATTACAGTATGAGAACGAGCAGATGAACACATATAGGCCACATTCATACATTCATTCTGTCACACACAAAAACAACCATAAATAGAAATGTCCCGAAGCTGCTCAACCCTCCACCCGCCCCTCCAAAAAAACAACAACAAATGTTGCAATGTGAATTTCAAAGAGGAAAAATAACACTCCGTAATATTGTACAGTTTATAAAATTGTACTTTTCTTTCTGGTGTGCACGTCTTGGCCGCCAGGAGGCAGTATAAGAATTGCTGTGCATTAAGACGTCTGGACCTTTCTCAGGTCATCAGGGTAGCACTAATATCATATACTATACTAGTGGTTCTTCGCAGAGGATAAAAACTGTTTTCAGTTATATTATATTATATCAATGGGCCATTCAGAGTGTTTCAGTTGGCCGCCCCTGTCAAAGGATGTTATCATTTGTGTGTGGGATTTGAACAACGGTCCCCGACCCCTCTCATCACTCAGCTGCATGGTAACATACTTTTGAGCTACCATTGGGAGTTACAACGTAGTTACTGTATTATTGCTGGTTGGTAGGTACTCCATGGTAAGATGTTCAGATGTAAAAGTTGGAAATGACAACTGATTTGTGATAAAATGCAAGAGCGCTAAACTTAGCTTAGCATAGTTTAAGACACATCTTTTGTCAGCATATCGCTAAGCAGACATGCAGTGTGAGTGTGAGCAGCCAGTGCGGTGCAGTGTCCCAATTTTGGGACAAATTCAGATGAAAATTTTTACTATTGAGTGACTATAGTCATACTTTAGAATTACATTAGTAAAGCCTGGTTCACATGGTAGGATAATCGGCCCGATTTCAGCCCTGAATCTCCCCTCCCGGCAATTTTCAAACATTAAATAATCTTATTAAGGCAGGTATTGTTTGAAGAACCACTGTTTTGGCTCCAACAAGCCTGCACATACACACACACACACACACACACACACACACACACACACACACACACACACACACACACACACAAACTACACACACACACACACACACACACACACACACACACACACACACACACACACACACACACACACACACACAAACACACACACACACACAAACAGACACACACACACACAGATGGAGCAGGTCCAAGCAGGCATTGGTTTGATTGATCCAGGCTGACGCGTTGCTCCCTCTGTAAAAAATCCAGCGTGAGCCAGGAGACTCCTAATGTTAAAAATATGTGGCTTGTGTGGAGCCAGCACAAATGCTGCTGTGAGAGCAGAAGGGTCACTGCGGTTTGCAGAGCACATCTGATTTACTGGATTAGTTCCTCACTCCATCCTTGGACTGTCTCTGTGACCCTGCCACACATGACTTGTTAATGTGACATAATTTGCTATGTTTGTATTATTGTTAATAATCTATCTCATGTGTTCTGTAAAGTGCTTTACAGTCCAACTGCACAGGTTGTAAACGAGCAATATAGGGAAAACAAAGTTGAGTTGAGCAAAACAAATAAACTGTATCTGTTAGCACACATCCAAACACAAATTCGGGATATGCTCCTTCCTGAGGTTTTAGAATATTTCTTTAACTGGAGTTTGACTGTGCTCCCGATTGCTTACTGTTCGCGGAAACCCAATTTCACTCCAGAAAGAGTTTTCTTATTGCACTGTAAAAGGTAAAATTTTCATCCACAATTTGAGACTAGTCAATGAATCTGCAACAGAAAAAAAACCTCCCAAACAAACACACACACAAAAAAAAAAAAAGCCCACAACCTGCTCAAGGGAGTTTTTTTCCAACATTGGATATGGCCATATATTCATATGGAACTGATAATGCTGAGATCGAGTGTTGTGTGAGCATCTCCATGGGCAGCGGTCTCAAGAAAAACACAAAAAGGTTTTTTTTCGCTCACGTGCAATTCCAGTTATGACAAAGGGTCCCCAGGTTCATATGCGAAAACATCTCAAGCACACGATGCTTCACATTACATTACCGGATAATACAGTCCAGCATAAACAAAACACTTAACCAATATGGCTTTTATGAGTCATACCTTGTAAGGTCCTTAAATTGGACCCATAGGGAATGTTTATGACTATGTGTCCCCACTCCCTCACTGTAAATCAAGACCATTCCCTGTGAGTCACGTATCACTTTCAAATTCGAGTAACAATGGACAGGTTCGTGCATCAAGATGATCGTATAACGGAAGATGATCTAAGTCAGGGGTCCCCAACCTTTTTTGCCCCACGGTCCAGTTTAATGACAGACAATATTTTCAGGGACCGGCCTTTAAGGTGTGGCGGATAAATATCACAAAATAATATGGTATGAGCTGCATGAAAATTGTGGTGTTTTCGAAAGATAATAATAAACCCGAATCTTGACACGAGGAACGTCCAATCTGGCCGCAACACTCTGGTCGCTATGGTAATGTTTAAACGTGACTTCAAAATAAGATACAACGCAAATTCAAAGTGCATGAAAATTACGACTCACCACAATGCTGAATCAGTGAGAGCGCTGAGCTTGATTTTCTGCAACTAGGCGGTCCCATCTCGGGGTAATAAGAGACAATGACACCTGAAGTGTGTGGTTTATGTCTAGTCTACTTCGTAATTTTGTTTTGGTCGCCGTCACTGCAGAAAGCCCCCTTCACACAGGTAGGATGTCGGAAATAGCAACAGTGCTGTTGTGGCGATCTCAGGGTATTCTGCTATAACTTTAATCCAGAACACCGGCAGAGTTGTTGTCTCGAATGTACTTTTAAGGCCGCCGTCATTTGCGATCTCCAGCAGTTTTTTTTACTCATTTTGCGCAGACGGATGTAACAGAATATCAGCTAATTTTTTCAAAATAAAACATATTTCGTGTTCCGAAATAAATAAAATGGAATTAATGTAAGTTATTTATTCTTTCTGTGCGGCCCGGTACCATATGATCGGCTGACCGGTACCGGTCCGCGGACCGGCGGTTGGGTACCAGATCTAAGTCATGCTGCTGCTCGCTTATGACCTGGAAAAAACAATCATTAGAGAACACGAGAGGAAGCAAATTACTTCGCCCCAAAGCAGGGGAAGACGGCCTCAATTTGACACGTAGAGTTACCTGATGACACAATTTCAGTTCATCTGTTGGTTCAACAATACTGCGCCCGCAAATCATCTGCTCAAGGGCGGAATGAAACCCATTGTCTGCCTGAGCGATGCTTGTGCATCTCTTTGCGTATGATGCTATGGTCATCATGACTTACAAAAGCACTGGCTAAAAGAAGCGTGTCAACGGCTTCCTCTGACAAACACAGCTCACGTCGGCAGGTGACGACAGCAGGCCCGGATAATCAGAAGGTGTGAAAGCGAGGTCGACAGCTGTGGTGATAGAGCGACCTAATGGAGAGGAAGCTAAGCGTTTTCACTGTATGTCTTTCATCAAATGAGGCCAGAGCACTTCCTCCTTCTGTCCTCCACTGGAAATTATTATTGAGAGGGATGACTGCCAGGTCAACATAACTGCTGTCAAATCTGTGATAGTAAATGTGTCTTTTGGTCAAGTGTATTGCACCAGTATTCCAAAGCTAACAAATAATGGGCTAAATGCTAATGATATTCTGTACATTGAAAACAGAATGAATTCAACTCATTAGTGTGAACTGAATTGATGAACGGCATTTTAATCTCCCCTTCGTAGAAAGAAAATCTGCACTGTTTTGACAAGTCATCCCTTTGAACTTTGAAACTAATATGACATGAATACAATGTCGTCATACACTTTCAATCACACTAACTGATGTCATGTAGCATCTGTTGTGTAAATGCAGAATTAGTTAATACTGCATATTGAATATCTATAATATCACTAGTGTTATTCAAAAATTTTCACAATGTAGTCTTGAGTTTGACTTTTGAAAACTGCACAATGCTCTCAAAAGTACATTACAATAGATAGTTTTTCTAAATCAAGTTATCTTTGCTCAAGGATCATTCAACACTTTTAAGTGTAACTTAAAATGTATATTTGTGTTTGAAATTGCCCCGCTAAAAATGTTTCTAGACAAGGAAATACAATTTTTTGCAATACAAAATGTGAATTTAAGAAATAAAAACTTTGTTTTGATTACATTATATGAAAAAGCATCTGATTGAATACATTTTGCTTTTACTGTGTTTCATACTGTTTTTACACCTAGCTATCTTGAATGGCTTTTCCTCCAGCTAGTGGGCGAGACTCGAGCTTCACTTCTAAGATCGCAAAAGGCGATTGTTACTCCATTATGGCCTGTCACGAACGCTGTGGTGGAGGACCCCAAAAAGCAGGCAGGAGAGAGGAGCAGTGTGAACGCACAAACACTAACCGACAGAAGAAGTGATAGCAACACAAACAACCCTGAGTGGTTGGGCCGGGAGTCCTTTTAATAGAGAACCTACTAATGACATGATGACCAACAGGTGTGCCGCTGTAGGAAGAGCCCTACAGAGC